ATGTGCTGACTCTTCCAGGTGCTGCGATGTCGTTGACAAGGGTGCTCGTCGGCAGCGACGCCGCCGCAGCTCGCCCTGCCAGTGTTTTGTTCGGCGCATGTGTTGCGCAACTCGCGCAGGGGTCAAATGGTTCACGCCATGCAAAAACAACATGCGCACCAAACAAAGCGCAGCTGTGGAATTGTGCGCTCGTAAAGGAAATTTGGGGATGTTGCAATCTAACGCAATCTTGCAAGACTATCCGGTGGCGCCATTTTCGCCTTCTTAGGAAATTTTCTCTTTTCGTTTTCGGATTTTTCATGTACTTCCGAGAGCATAACAGTTAAACGAAAGCCGTTTGGAAGTTGAAGCTTTTCAATTACAGAAATTGGAAGTTGGCCAATAAGAATTCCGAAAAGTTTCAAAAAACTCAAAAATTGTGTTCTTCATGTGTGGGTGTTCATACCAGTGAAGTTTGGTTATATTTATGACATATGTCAATATTTGGTCAAAAAAGACTCTTAGGAGCGAAATCGATGTCATAGTCGTAATCAGCATGCTAAAGAACCATTTTCGACGAAGTTTTATGCAAATTTGGGATCCCGACCCACTTATCGTATACCCACCGTCATGCGCTGATAAATCAATTGACAAACCAGCAACCTTTTCAACCTTTTCGTTAACAAAATGCTAATTAACCTTCTGGGCAAAATCCCAGCAAATTGCGAGATTTCACCCCATACCACAAACCTACCGTAACCTCACCACAAGGCTTTATCGCAAGGAAAGGGTAAGATAATCGTGATTGGCGTATCGAATCACCCATGCATTGCAACGAATTCTGTTTGAATACATGATTTATATCTACCGTAACCGCCACCACGAAACGAGTACCATTTTCACAATCAGTATGTCGGGTAACCCTCTTGTGCAGAGTTCCGGCTTCTGAGGTCTTGCATAGAAAAGACGTAGAAAAAAAAGAGAGATGACCATAAGTACCATCCTAGCCCTAGTATCTCTAAACATTCGTTTAGTCGTGCACTGTGCACTTATCAAAGCTTCTCTGGATCTATTTATGGCCAGATAAAAGAGGCAATGCTTTGGGTCGGTATCTTATGTGAATGGTAGAATTTGACTGCGTAGGAAGGCTATGCTTAAAGGCGGCGTGCGGGCAAATCTGAACCTATGGGAATTTTACGTGGGAAGTAATTTTGAGAGCAAATACGATCCTGGGGTCCAGTTTGGAGGCGTATATCTCATCCGCTAGAACACCATCTGAGCTGCCGTTTGGCTAGTGTCTTAGGGCCGCATGCACTAACATCGCCGCGGAGAGCGGATCGCAGCTTAGAAGAAAGCTTTATATTTCGAAACTCCAGCTACCTGGATTTCACGTTGTGTACCTATCCGTAAGTATTCCTACTGCCCTTCACTATGAACATGTTGAGGAGGAGCGAGAAGCTGTACAAACAACATTTTCCAGCTTTTGTATGATCCCTCATGATCCCCGGCGCTTCTCTTTAAAGTCATTTTTCTTTCTCCGAAGTTAACCGAAAACCTCCAAAGTTGTGCGTATTATCTAACCCGACAGTGCTAAGCATGTTGCTGATAACAACAAATGATGTTTTGAAGTCATGAAATTTTCGATGATCCACAGGTCGAAATTTGAGGTTTACTGAAAAATTCGACTTTTCAAAAACTTATTTGCTCTCATTAGCAACATGCTTAACACTGTTGTGTTAGATGTTTAGTACAACTTTGGAAGCTTTTCGTCAACTTTGGAGAAAGGAAAATGACTTTAACGAAAAGCGCCGGGGATCATCAAGGTCCATACAAAAGCTGGAAAATGCGGTTCGTACAGCTTCTCGCTCCTGTTCAACATGTTCATAGTGAAGGGTAGTAGGAATACTTACGGATAGGTACACAACGTGAAATCCAGATATCTGGAGCTTCAGGATATGAAGCTTTCTTTTGAGCTGCAATCCCCTCCCAAGCGGGGAGGTTAGTGCATGCGGCCCTTAGTTAAGGAATTACCATCGGTGCCGCCTTTAAAATTTCCGAAATAAACGCGATGTCGCGTTGAAAGCGCCGCAACCTCATAACTCCCTTGAAAATCATTGTTGAGTAGAGAGGAACACATATTCGGAATCAGCGTCCTTCAGTCTATCCAAATCCATAACTTTATTTTCAAAAACTCAAATTGTTCACTTTAGTGGTGACTCACGATAAACTCCACGGTCCAGGGATTTTTAGCTCTTAAAGGCATTGTCCAGGTCAACCTGGGGGTATTGGGATCTTGACACAGTGTGAAAGCATGGCTCCTGACTAACGCAACAGTTCAAGTGCGATCTAAAACGGTGGAATCTGAAGCGAGAAAATCGCTTCAGACGAGTCTGCAAAAAAGGGGGCGGTACTCCAATCCCGCCCCCTTGACAAGTTTCGACGTGGCCAATGCACTAGATCTTGAGCATTCGCCACGTCAAAACTTGTCCATGGGGCGGGATTGGAGTACCCCCCCCCCTTTTTTTGCAGACTCGTCCGAAGCGAGTTTTTCGCTTTAGATTCCACCTTTTTCGATCGGACTGGAACTCTTGCGTTAGTCAGGAGCCATGCTCTCACACTGTCTCAAGATCCCGATACCCCCAAGTTGACCTGGACAATGCCTTTAAGTCGCTGTGTGGCCGGTAATCAATGGGATTGACTGGTACAAATCATTAAACACATTGAAAGGATCTTGCTTCTTGTTTTTCATGAAATTTTGGTGGTCTAGAACTTTTTATTTCAAATCAAAAAAGATTTTCAGTGCGCGAAGTTCAAACTTCGAAGGTTCGTAACTTCATGAATCTGTTCCTAGGCGAATTGCCTTATGCTAGCGAGTAGTACAGAAAATTCCCTATAGGACTTATTGAAACTCACCTATTTGTTCGGGTTTTTACGCGAGATATCTGAGCCCGAATCAGGGTGCTCAAGCTCAGATTGCCGTCTGCTACCATTTTCAAAATGTCGTATCTTAAAGGCAGTGTCCCGGCAGATTTTGCACCTCCACCTTTTTGCATGCTTTAGGCCTTTTCGCCACGTAGAATCCGAATTGGAGCTTTGAACGGGCTGAAAAGGCCGATTTTGGGGCGTTTTCTTAATTCCAGAAAAGCAGCTTGGACGAGATTTTTAATGGAAAGTTGGGGGAGGTCCTCAGACTAAGATCCTGCCGCCTGTAATTCTTGCTTTGGATAGCATGCATCATGGGGGAGAGCGCTGGTGGGGTCCCGCGCCGAACAGGCGGGGAAGGCCGTCCAAGCGCGCGCCAGTTGCGGTTGCGCGCGCCGGTTCAAGGGCCATTTTCTCGGCCCAGGGGGAACATCACCCAGCCGGAGTGCGCCTGGAGGTCGATGGGGTGACCAGGAACCCCACCACACGTATATCCCCCAGGACCCGAATCTGCCGGGACACTGCCTTTAACACGTTGACGACGGTGTCGCGCAATGGTGCGCGACAGGCAGTCTGTCCCTGTGGACGATGTCGCGCAATGGTGCGCGACACCCTAAACATCAGTTTTAATGTGCACAATGGTTCCAACTTGTGTTCATATAATCAAGTTAGGCTCGAAAGTATTTTATGTTGGCCCCGCTCCCTTTTTGGCAAACTCCGCCCACTCCATTGCCCTCTACAAAAAACTTTCTTCGTCCTCGAATCGCATAGAAAAGCTCATAGATGACAGGGGAACCTCAAATAATCTTGATTTTGACCCCGCCCCCCGTAATGCAGGCTCCACCCCCTCGGTGGCAAGCTCCGCCCACTTTTCAAAAATGCCGGAATTTGCACGAATTCATTGATTTTGAGCAATTTTCAGCATTTTTGAGAAGTGGGCGGGGCTTGCCAAAAGTGGGCGGAGCTGCCCCGCCCAATTGAATTTGTGTATCTCACGCATAGATGCATGCATATATATGTGCAGCCGGCTGTGAAAATGCCTGGAAACGGTTCGTCCACAGGGACAAACCTTCAAAAAATGGCTCGTCGTCAACGTGTTAAGCATGGGCGAGGTGAGGTGCCAGCGTTTTTGCACATTGATAAATTAGGCTTCGGTAATTAAGATCTGCATGTGTGTGAGTGCTCGTTGGGGAACTAATTGCACTGAGGTGAACGGAATAATGCAGAAATACGAAAAATGCAGAATTACAGAACTACGACTTGATTTTCCACTGCTTCTTGGGATCTCACCAATCATCACAATTCTTGAATATTCAGATTCTACATGAGATAAGCTTTCAAAAAATATAATTTGCTCCCTCTATCAGCCCAGGAAAAGGAGTTGATTTATTATATGCATCAATTTGATTCACTGAGGGAGCTCGGCTGCACCTGCACCCAGCTGTGGCACAGGCAAGTTCGCATCTCGCAGTAGCAAAGGTGCGAACTCTGTCTTATGGATAACTAGACCATCTATCGACTTCATAGAATAATTCAACACTCCTTTTGTTACCTGTCCCAAAAACGAAATCTGCTTCGGCTCTAGTACATTTGAGCTAAGCTGTCAGCGGAAAGCTCGAGCCACAAAAGTCGGTACACTGTCACAGAATAAAGCATTCAAATTTGCACAGTTAGAGTTCTATCTAAATTAGCGCTACCTTGGCTGCCAAGATGGCAAATCGTACAACGCAGAAAGGAATTTCTATAAGGAAATTGGCATCTCTATTTTCGCCTAATCTCACCACCTTGTAGTTGAATCGAAAACAAATGCAGTAACGTGCGGGTGTGTAAACCCAAAAGTTGCCGTCAAGAAATGCGATAGATGATTTCTGAGTTTGCTCTAATTACAACACAAGCGTTTTAGAAACGATTCAAAGTAGGCGAGGACTTTGGGACGTTGTCTATGGTGGTAAAAAGTGAAATACAGCATTCAGAAACCCCATTACTACGCTCCGAAAAGTACCGCAAATAATTCTTTATTTGTTTTGACTAGACCGCGTCGCCGCTTGTGCAGCAGTGTGTAAGCCTATGTTCACTGAGTGTTAGAAAAAGTGCATTGAGTTCTACATAACATTTATTCAACAAAAATGACACACAAAAAGTTCACTATTCTCACTTGAGATCGACACAGGAATCTTTTTCACAGATGTAGGTTACGAAATCACTTTGTTCATGTTCACACTTCAAGTCGTTCCAACGGAACCAGTCGCCCCAAACTGGTGCATACTGAAAGCATGGCTCTCTACCACTGTACTACGTCGCTTCAAAAGTCAGACTCACATGGACGCATTCTTCGTTTCCTCCCAAATTGTTTGGCTCAATGGGTTGCCAATTGAAATAAGTAGCCTCTGTTCCATTCACAAATCTCCATTTCTTCCCCCCTGGTCCATCTAGTAATTTGATTCCGATCCAGTGGTTTTGCATGTATTCACGGCCCCGCCATTTTATTTTCTTTCTAACAGATCTTGACAAAGCTTAAGAAAAGTACTTAGGATGCAGCACAAGTTATATTGTTACCCTAATTTCACTCGTATAAGGCGCAGGGAATTTTTCTTCCAGGATCGACCAGCCCAGACACGCCAAAAGGCTTTACAACCAAGAGACGCTATAACGTGCTGTCTATTGCTTAAAGGCAGTGTCCGGGCAAAAACTCGATTTTGAGATTTTGTGCTTACCTGGGCCTATTCGCTATGCTGAATCCGAAAATCCACATTGGAAAGCGCAAAAACGACGAAAAAGGGCTGTAACACTGGAGGGAATCCAGCAAGTGGGCGGGGTCTTCCCCACTGTAAATTCACGCTTCCAGCCTCGGGAGCGATCTTTTTGATTCCGGTTTCAAGTCAATCGTTTGCACTTGATCGGTAGTGATGTCAGGGCGGCTAGCGGATATGAGAAAATTACCCTGGAAGCTGGAAGCGTGAATTCACAGTGGGGAAGACCCCGCCCACTTGCTTATTTCCCTCCAGTGTTAGAACCTTTTTCCGTCGTTTTCGCGCTTTCCAATGTGGATTTTCGGATTCAGCATAGCGAATAGGCCCGGATAAGCAAAAAATCTCAAGATCGAGTTTTTGCCCGGACACTGCCTTTAAGAGAATCGTGCGATGTAAGGATTTCTTCCCAGAATAAAGTGGCGGCTGAGCGGCTCGCTTGAAAATTCGAAAAAGTGCTTATACGCGTGAAATTAGGGTATTTAGATAGTATTCAAATTATTTTCCTTTCTTCTATCTCTCCTTTCTCTTTCATCGCCCATACATTTCCTTACATACTTTTTGCGTAGAGTATTCAGCTTATTCCAAAGAAGAACTGGAAAGCGAGAAGACTGATAAACTTTGTGTGAGTTCTACAGTCGAATCACTTCATATGATCATGTGTGTCACTCACTGCACACACAGTCCACCGTTGGCGTCCTCATCCTGCATTTTCAATCGCAAAATCGCAAGAGACCTACCATTTGTTACCGATTACATCATTTTGAGGTGACTAGTTCTAAGAAGGAAAGAAAATGTCAAGAACACATCGAAAACACTTACCTAGAGGGTCGTTTCCTCCAAGATCCAGGATGGGAACGCCAAAGGTGCACTCTGTGTGCAATGACACACATGATCGTATGAAATGATTCGACTATAGTTACCATATCAATAATACTAACGTATGTCAGTAAAAGAAATTGCTGGAAAAGATAGACCAGTAGATTTTGAAGATGAATTGTCGATTGTTTTACTAACAGGTTGTAACATAAGTTTTGAGACACTCCCACTTCTTACGACGATAGGTCATACAGTTCACATTGTCAAGAGGGATCCAGGATACAGTTCGAGAGAGCAAAGCATGCTCCACAAGGTGGTGTGCAAAAGTTTGCACAAACTTCAACCCACTATAAGTTTGCATCCAAAATCTGAATCGCACTGAAGGCTCTAGAAATGGCGAAAAACCATATCTTCGCTCAAAAAAATCCTACGGATCTCCAACTGCTCCTAAAAATTGCACACTACATCAGACTCTCAAGTGTACCGTTCCTGGATTTTTTTTAAATTTAGAAATGAGAAAACGAAACTGTTTATATTTGAACAAAAACAGAGCTATGCTGTTTTCACTCATGTAATTGCATACTACAAGCCCTTGGGAGTATAACCTTAGATTTTCAGTTTTCCACAGGCCTAGTTTTCGAAAATTACCGAATTTCGCTCTCCTCACTCGGGTGTTCCATATTGAAATTAATATTTCTAGAAAACTAGGGCTTGTGGAAAACTGAAAGTTTACGATTATACTTCTAAGGGCTTTATGGTATACAATTAGAGTGAAAGCAGCATAGCTCCGTTTTTGTATAAACATGAAAATTTTCGTTTTCTCGATTTCTAAACAAGAAAAAAATTCTAGGAATGGTACATATGAGAGTCTGATATAGTGTGCAATTTTTATAAGCATGTTGGAGATCCGTCAGATTTTTTTGAACAAAGATAAGAATTTTTCGCAATTTTTTGAGCCTTCAGTACGACGTAGATTTGGATGCAAACCTATAGTGGATCGAAGATGGCGCAAACTTTTGCATACCATTTTGTAGAGCTTGCTTTGCTCTATCAAATGAATCCTGGACCCCTACTGAAAATGTGAACCTTATGATCTATTGCCCTAAGAATTAAAAGTGTCTCAAGACTTACGCCTCAACCAAATATGATTAGCTTATGTCAGCGCTTTTCGAGCAGATCTACATTCTATAAAACCTAACAAACAATGCCCCCTCCCCGGCCCCCAAAATGATCCGAAAAGACGAGTCAGCCCACGAAAAGCAGACCGCTTTGGTCTTTATGACAGGGTCCGTTGTCACCTTCCTGACGATGTGAGCTGAAGTCGCCGGTAGGCAAAGACGTCATCCAAGAAAGGGCGACCTGCTTCGAAGCAGCCCTAGAACGCCCCAGTACTATTAGTGTAGGCGAGAAATTCATAGCATTTTCAGCTTTACTTCAGCTTCATGTCGATCGCCCCAGTACCCTCCGCACTGTGTCCTTCTGCCACTGGATGTCGGATGGCAGTAGACCGGTGAGGGGCAGAAATCAATCACAGGATCTCGCAAGTACAAGACCTCCCTGGATCCTATCGGCAGCAAAACGGATTCCACAGCACATGGAGGCTGTTTTCGTCTGTGCACATACAAGGCATGGACCTCAGGTCTAGCCCACGATCTCTTCGTTCTCCTAAACGCCGACAGCTGCATCGAATACGATGTAAACGCACTACAAAAAAACAAGGAACAGAGTCTCGACCACTCTTAAAAGGAAGGATGGAACTCCTATTGTATTAAGAAAGAAGGATCCAACGCAAAACATCAGAGATATGTTCGTTTTACAGCACTTCATTAACCACCTCGTCAACTCTCATAAAGTCCTGTAGCTATAACTAGTTCGCACAGAAGTCGCAACGCCAAGAAGATGACAGATTGGGAACTTTGAGCTGAGATGTCAGAACAAGAATGAGGACAAACGTCGAAATCATCCCAGCGTCTTATTCCATAGAAACTCCTTTTACCAGAAGAAAGAGCTGAAGTGTGACCGAAAGGAATGCGAAGATCTAACAAAAGGTTTGGGAAAGATGATTGAAGGACTACGCAGCTGTGATGTGCAGGCTGTTCACTTTTTCGAAGCTTCTTCACAAAAGCAGTATCCTATACGCAGATCCAAGCATAGCGTTGGGGCGAGTGCTGTTTAAGAGCACTTGCATGCAAGCGGTGTGAGAAGATCTGAAACAATATCGACAGATGAAGATTTTCGCAGCACGGAAAGTCTGAAGAATGCTGCAAGGATCTTCGCGAGCACAAGGTGCCGACGCAATTCTCTACTGAGCAACGACGGAAGACTGGTGAACTTCCTGCGCGAAATAGGAGCGATAACGAGGGATTTACGACAACTTTTTTGCCACGACGCTCCTACCAGACCATGCCATCCGCAATGGAAAACAGCCACAAAAGAGATTTTCTTAAGTACGCTCGGCCATAGCTTGCATGAAACCAGGCACAGCTCCCTATCCTGACGGATCACCGCCAACTTAGTGAGAGTAGGCGGACACAGGCTACATTCCCTGCTGACGACCCCCATGACAGGATATGCGAAGAAGGAAGGTTTACTTAACCAGTGGAGGATATGTACTCCGCATGTTTGCCTGCACAAAAGGGAGCTTTCAAGATTTACACATCGCGCTGTTTGCGAAGGTCATTATTCGGATATTACAAGGATGTTGGATGAAGCACAACCGACCAAGCAAGCCGTGGAGGATTTCGTAGAGGATTCAGCTGCGTTGATCACATCCATTCCGTCTCAGGTTGCTGAATGTCTGTCAAGAATATTAATCTTTACTCCTCACCCTCGCTGATTACGAAAAGCTTTCGACAGTGTAGAGGTTGACACCATTTTAACTGCCTTGATCTACCAGGGAATGAACCCAGCGTACATAAGATCCTATGCATAATGTACCTAGAAACTCAGTTTTGGGGTGCATTCTTAGCATGTCGAGAGTACCGACTAGCAGGAATGCACATATGCACAAGAAATGCTGGTGTGTTTTTGAACAACTGCTTTTCTGAAGTTGCGGCACTGTGCATTGCCAGTAAACCTTAAAACGCTCATAACCTTCATAAAAAACCCGCAGCAGATATGTAGGCTAGACTTGGCATCAGCTCAACATGACGCATATAGCAACGTGCATTTTGTTCCAAACAACTATGGGATCCTCCATTAGTAAGTAATCTTGGTAATCTAAGGACTGTATTGCAGAAAACTCTGGTTTTGTAGTCCTACCAAAAAGCGCATATGCATTATCATAAAGACAAAAAATACAGTGCCGCTTTGTAATGTCAGTTTTTATAAACCCTTCAAATTATTATTGTCCAGTAAATTTTGGTCCACCAAAAAAAGTGCTGTGAAAGTACATGAAGTTCAACTAACTTGCAACGAATTTGTCCTCTTGCTCGTTTCTAATATATGGCAGGTGCGCTTCATATTTTTCGCATACTCTTTGAGCAGCATCAAAGCTTTTCCCGTCACAGAATTTCTAAATATTGCTTTCTTTCAGAAACCGTCGACTTTTTCAACATTGCTGAAAGTGCTCAATCTGAAAAGAAAGTAACCAGAATTTACCATGTAGCAATGTCCGTTCCTGATGTTCTGGAACCATCCACTACACGGCTGTCCCCAATCGCAAGACGACAGAGAGACAACAAGGAGAAAGCTGGAATTGACTTTTTTTGAGACTCAACCATCCAGAATGCTAACGGTAATCGCAAAAGTTGGTTTGAGCTCAAAGATTTTGGACGGGAAAAACTTCTACCAGTAAGATGAGATGAAATAGCAATGCTGGAGGTTTTCAGCAATAAAAGCGGAAAGGCGGAATCGTCAGAGGAGCAAGTTCTCAATGACTCTCATGTGCTCGAGCGAAAGAAACATCGGTTCAAACGAAGGGCTGATTTCCATTATGTGATCGTAATTCTGAGTCGTGAATGTGATAGTGGGGATCGAACTGCGATGCGCGATTTGGGACAAGCTCTACGAAGAGTTCCATGCTCTAAAAGCTATGAAGATTCGATTGCTAGTCTTTGATCCTCGTTCTAGGCGTGGTTAAAAGTGAGCAAGTTAGAGTATATTGCTTTAAGGAAATGTCTCCTCTGCTTTATGCCCGCGCTACTCATCTTATCCCTACGAAATGTAGGCGGTCATGATACAATTCAGTATAAAGTTGTTTCCAACTGTCTATCTTGTCTTGCGATATGCTTACTTTTACATAAAGAATAATGTAATTGCTTGATCCTTACAGAGAATGATATTTGCAGGGGAAAAAATCAAGTAACCGTGGACTTTCGCGACGGGTATATACCAGTAATAAGACCTTTAGTAGGGTAAACTCATTTTCGCGCTTGGTATCTGCTGTACGATTTGTGCAGGAAGCCATAAGCGTTTTTCCTCCGAGTTTGCGCGGCCAACTCAAGTGCAACCCTTTCGCGCTGCAAACATGCAGTGATACGTGGTGTAGCGAATAGTGTGAAAACCGTGAATCTATTGTACTTTTTGGCTCGGGTCCTGTCGAATAAAGACCATTGGCTGATTTAACCTTGGATTCAACTGACTTGGCTCCGGAAAGGCGGAACTCTGTCATTCGATTAAGGCCGCTCGTGCTCGCGACGCACCTGCGTCTCTCTCGCGCGAGTGCTCTCTGATCATTACTTAGCCTTAATTAGGTCACGGAGCCACGCCTTCCCGATGCCGAGCCAGTTGAATCAAATAGTACTTGAAGCTTTTTTTTTTGATATGAAAGCACTCTAACTTCAAACACGTTCTTTCCTTTCCTTTCCCGTCTACTCAAATAGCACTTTTCACGTTTGAACTCTTACTGTTTTGTCAAGCTTGCCTGAACTTCAGCATGCACCCATAGCTAAGCTGTGTCGCACAAATCGCTTGACTAAAGACCGACTTGCTTCTCTACAGTAATTCGGCCACAGTGAAGAGGCCGCCGTAAGAAGTAAGCCAGAACTTCACTCACGCTGAACTCTCCCATGCGAAGTTGGATTACGCTTAAGAAACTATGTTTTCAGTCACTCACTTCTGGCGAGAGCTCACAAAGGAGGTCGAATCAGTCGAAGTGGCCTTTCCAAATAAGTCATATATTATTTTGAAGAGCGTTGAACGCTGATTCCAAATCTGTCTTCGTTATCTGCCGAGGGGTAGAGGTACGAACGCCTCAATTAGGCGCCGCTTCTGCGGGCTGCTGGTCCTTTCGTCTCTTACGGTTGTACATCGTGTTGGGACCAGTAGTCCGCGGAGGCGGTGCCAAATTGAGGCGTTCGTTCCTCCACCCTCTGCCGAGCGCCTCTGGACGCCGAGTTATAAATGTTTTTTGGAGCGAAAATTAAACGCAGAATTCAAGTAAAATTAACTATTACGTACTTTTCAGCGCCTAAATATGTAGAGCAACATATAGTATGAGTGTTTTGGAGAAAAGGTATTCTTTCAAATGGAGTGCTCTATCAACCAACATTGGACTATTTGAACAATTCTGACAAATTATGCTCTAATTACGCATTCAATTTTTCAACCCAAAGAACGCTCATAACTCGGCGTCCAGAGGCGCTCGGCAGATAATGAAGACAGATTCGGAATCAGCGTTTAACGCTCTTCAAAACAGTATATGACCCATTTGGAAAGGCCACTTCGACTGATTCGACCTCCCTTGTCAGACGGCTTATATCATCTGAGAAGTTGAGTCAACTGTGCTCATTTGAGAAGAAAAGCACTTTGACCCTAAACTTTGCTCAGTTCTCCTAATGGACCAGATATGTTCCAAGCCATAGGCGGCATTTCTGTGCCAGGGCCGGCACACGTGGAAAATAGAAGGCAATTCGTAACATGACTTCAAATGTCCGTTGATCTAGCTGTCGTAGGGAGGAGCAGCAATTGCTCGAAGAACACATTTGTAGACTCACAATAAAAGTTCACGATGACCAGCCATGGTCGCAGACGATACGTAAATGTTAGCCCTTTTCTAACGAATGATGGCGATGATAAGGTTACAAGAAACGTGGCAAGTTTGGATTAACACGAAATTTCTTGGAGACTGGCTATTAGGCTGGTAAAGACATTTTACTTAAAGTGGCTTTTTTTCGATGCGGTGTATTCACTGTCCTGAAATTCTTCCAAACAACGCGTTGGGACACCGAAATAATGTTGATAAGGAACTCAGTGCAGTGTACAGGGTGCGGCAAAAGTCTGGGAGCCTAATCTTGCAGTATTGCAATTACAAAGGCAATAGTGGTTCTGATTTCAGTTTTATGCCAACTGATGCCGCGGTCATTTTCCATAGAATACACTTTATTTGGCTAGAAATGGCTGCCATACGTTTTTGTAAGAATGGAAAATACCAAACTAGTACTTTTGCAAAGCGAAAAACCAGAATTTTTAATATTTACAATTTCTGCTGTAGCTAGAGTGTTAATATTTTACAAAATTTCGATGCACACAACATAGAAGAGGCTTTGCGCTATTAAATCCTAGTTTTGCTTTTGCCAGGAGCTGTTCTTGCATGAATGGGAAATAAAAGTTTGCGAATGTTACCTACGTGCCAGTGGAAATCCGTCTTCAGGACAAATTCAAAAGCAATAGAATGCTCAACAGGCACTGGGGCCAAGGCTGTATTTTTTGCATACGTCTTCTGAATTAGAATCTATTGAGATTCGGTTATGGGAACACTCTTTATAGTTTTTAAACGATATTTTTAAGTTTTTATTCGCGCAATTGTAGCCAAAATTCCGGTATGCGACGTATACATGCTTCTAATTGAAAATCCAATATTTTTATTCCCAAGCAATGCAAATTTCTTTTGGAAGTTTGTTGTAGACAAAAGTTTGCTCTATCATGCTGCACATTTGCCAAGGCAAAAGAGGCAGTTATTGTAAAGGCATGGGGCGAATTCCATCACGACTACTTACGTGCCATGACAGGTGGACTTGCCAAGATTTTGTAGGTCTGCGTGGAAGCCAATAGTGGCAACTTCAAAATCCAAGAACTGGGCTGTATTTGCAATGGTTCGAATTATGTGTGCGTCAAATTTTTCGTTTCTGGGTACTTCCCTTCTCGTTTTGTACGAGAAAGTACTAGGCTTCCAGACTTTTGCCGCACCCTGTACTAGCAAGATGATGAATTGGAGGGCTGGGCTTCGATCGCTAATTAAGGATGCCTATAGGGCGCACTCGCGAGAAAAAGGCAGAGTCTAAAACACTATCCATCACACGTCGGTTCCTATGATACAAAGAGTATTTCACCTTCTATTGAGTAGGAATGGTGCCGTTTCTTCAGCTACTACAGCCGCAGTGTGAATATTAAAAGTGCATGTGGGCACTTTACAATGGAGCATAACATGCTTCTAACAAAAAATAGGCTACCAATACCGCGTAAATCGTAATCGCACGATGTTTGAAGCCAAAGTCTCAATTTCAAGGCCCCAGAAAGTGATTGCCAGCCCACAGAAATTCTACAAATCCATTACATAGTCAGCATGTAACGCATACAAACGTTTATTATATCCATTCGCAGTAATTTCCTTGCGACTGTAAATCAAGGACAAAATGGGAAAGAATTGGCAAAGACGACTGTAGTGCTTTTTTCACACATACATTACCGCTCACTTTCTCAAAAAAAATACGCGAATGTCGCATCATGTATGAACTTCACCGTCGCGTGGCCATATCTCGCTTCAGAGTGGACGAACTCTGCATCTAAAGTCACCATTCGACTCAGCTGGGCGCGGCGCATCTTCTGATGTATGGAAGTGTTCACTTGGACACAGTAGGAGGTCAGATTCCACGAATCGTTTCAGATCTTTGCTTACGGTAGGTTGCCCAGAGGATGTAGTGAATAAGCACACTTAGTAACTACCGTAAGCGAAAATCTGAAACGATTCGTGGAGTCTGACCTCCTACTGTGTCCAAGTGGACACTTCCATATATCAGAAGATGCGCCTCCGAGCTGAGTCAAATGGTGGCTTTAGATGCAGAATTGTCCACTCCAAAGCGAGATATGGCCACGCGACGGTGATGTTTCATACATGATGCGACATTCGCTTCTTTTTTTCAAAAAATTTGAACGGTATTGTATAGTTGTCTTCTACAAATTTTTGGAAGTATAAATTTCTTATCTATGTGCGCTAATAGTTGAAAAATATCACATTCAACACAAAAACCGAAAAAGACAACATCTTCGTAGATCTTATTTTCGTTTCTTGACTTCTACGCTCATAAAGACAACGTTCAGCAACTGTTCATGTATTTCGCGATGTGCCACTGTGCGATGACAAGGGAGGCTTGCAAGACTTTGTTGGCGGAGATCTGACTTTTTCGGCCAACATTGGGTTGTTAATAACTAATTTGCAAATAATTTCGTAAGTTTTCGCTCTTTAATATTGTCGCACCTATTTTTTGATGCTTTGTAAACTGTGAGCTATAGTGACACAAACCTCAGCTTTTTGATGAAAATAAAAAATACAGGAATTATTTGAAAATTAGTGATATACGAGATTTATTGAGTTACCAGTGCACAGCCAACAGCAGCCTCTTTCACCCAGGAGTAGCAATTTGCTCCCTTCTTTTGCTGTTTTCCTCTTAATAATGATTTGTTTCAAAATCTCTACCTTCTTTTTTACTCTTCAAAAATGACAAGAATAAAACAAAAACAGCACATTCAAAGTACCGTAGTATCATTGTAAAGGAAAGCACAGTCTTAGTACCAGAGCATTATTAAAAACAAAGAAGAGCACAAATGTAGCACCGGAGATTGACCACAGCAGTCTTGGTCCTCAGTTTTAGAGAACAATCGTTTAGAAAGCGTATTCGCGCCATTGTTCGCTGCGGCGGGTGGCCTTATACAAGATGCGCCTTATACCCCGGAAATTAGGGTGCGCCTTATACCCCGGAAATTAGGGTATTCGGCTTTATAGTTACCATAAGGATAACAATCATTTTGGGTTACATCTGTATTCGAAAATCCTTCCAATTTTTGAGTAAAAACTTGTCGAGATGACATTTTGCGCAGTTACACCTTTTTGGCGCCAATTTTGTGCAAAAGTAGATTTTTTTGCTTACTTTTTGGGCTAAAGTCAATGTTTTTCAAATTTACTTGTTGAGTAAATCCACGATTTTGTTAAAAGTACCTATTTTTCGCGGCTCAAAATTGCGTGGATTCGTCGTTTTCACGGATTTTCAATTTTGTATTCGGAATTAGGGACATGAGGAGGCCACGGAATGACAAAAATATGAAAATCGAGATCTGGATGGACTGTGCTTTTGACTTTGACATTTGCATTCCATTTCTTTCTTACTGAGTTAAATGAGTTAACCTCTGGCAACAATCGTGTACACTTTCGGATCGTTGTACATGGTCTAGGTTGTGAACGCTTCAATTTCGCCTGTCATGACTAATAATAAAGCGCTAAGCGTCTGTCTGTTTGTCTGTCTGTATGTCTGCCTGCCACAAAATTCATAATGAGGTGCAGCCAACGAGTATGTTTCTCAAATCATTACTGTCTGTTGGAAAACAACATAATAGTTTCCGTTTGATGGGGGAAACTGTCTTTGAAAGTCATAAAGCAGTCATTCTCTCACGAGCGTACTCCGTGAGCGGCCGGCCTGTCACCCTCTCCGTTCCTGCCGACCCTTTCTACGTTCTTCCCGTATTCTGGGCCATTTTTCTATCTCGCTTTGGTGTCCCGTCGTCCGTAGGCCTCCCTTTTCCTCGCTGGTGCCCCTCCTGCTCCCGTAAGCCGACTTTGTCCAAATTCTGCTACTTCACTGGTCCCAATTTCCGACTGCTCCCCGGTACTATCGATTATTGATCTGATCACCTGCTGATCTATATGGCTTCACCATTTCGGTCTTCATCAGTTCCTGTCAAAAGAATGCGATTTGAAGCTACTTCACCCCCTCACCCCGCTTCACCCGTCACGGACCGACTCAGAGGAATTATGTCTCAGGAGTCGGTACCAGATTAATTGAAGCTGATGATTGAGATTCTGTCCGACACCAAGAAGGAGGTCACAGAGCTAAATCAAAGGATGTGCGCCCTCATCAGTGAAAACGAAAAACTAAAGAAGGAAAATTGTGAGTTGAAAAATAAAGACACTTCTTCCGTTTCTGAATCTAATTCTGAAATGAAAAGATCTGTTGTTATCGCTGGTGTGCCGGAATTTCAAAGTTCGACTGCCTCTCAGAATGCTTTTCACGATCATAAATGTGTTCTGTCATTAATAGATTTTCTCAATACCAATGCGTCACCTCTGCTTCGCAGAGACTCGCACTGGCCCTACTTTCATGCCTAACTCATTCTTGCATAATACGGCATTGAAACTCACCGAGCCATGCAGGCTATCACGAATGATTTGTAAACAACTACTCATTCCTAGAGCTTTTTAGTGTGAGGTCGGTATTTTCGCGTGGATGAAATTTTTTCGAGAAGAATTAATGCGAATTTGAATCGGTTTTCAAACTTTTTATGGCCCAATAGTCATAACGAACATAATCACCATGAGCTACATCCCTGTGCAAAAATCTTCTTAAACGATCAGGTAAAATCTTGGCAAATTGAGCGTTTATGCAACTTATTCTTTTTGGCGCCGTTTTCGTAAACTAATCAACTTTAGTTCAATTGTTTGGGTCAATGTCCATGGCTTGCACATTAGCTTGTCGATATCCATGACTTTGCAAAAAGTGTTGATACTGGCCCAATTTTGCTGGTCAGAAGCCAAGTGGATCCGTTTGACGCGCTATTTTCAACGGGTCCAACGGATCCGCACAAACTTTTGCATGGTGAGCTTTCATGCATTTAGCGTGCGCTATGCAAAATTTGGGCTTAGGACGTTGTCTGGAACACACTCTACGAATCTCGTAACGGACAGACAGACACACACACACACAAAAAACGTAAACACCCTTAGCCCGTCATTATAAGTCATGATAGGATGCCTTCCTTGCTCCGTCTCC